TACAATGTTTGGATACACACAGAAAGAACACCTTTGTGACCAAAGAGAACCAATTTTCTGCTCATCCTGATATTTGCCCTCTTTAGCAATGTTAGTCCCACTACTGCTCAAACTGGTTTGCTCAATTCCTGTATGGACAAATGAGACTTGAAAGGAAACCTGGAGTTGTGGCTAGAGGGAAAATGACAGTCTTTGGAGAGCAGGAATATTGATGAAACCATACCTCAGGCATTCCTAATTGAAGTCAGAAAACTTGAGTCAGTGTAAATAAAAAACTGCTGATGGTCGCAGGTAGTACAGAGAGGTTAGTCAAAGCTCCTGGACAATTAAAGCATTTGAGAATTGAAATACTGGTTCAAGATAGGTGTCCAATCACAGCTTCCAATTTTTCTCTTTTATTTATTTTTTTTAACCTGAATATATGCTAAGTTAAAGGTCATCAGAAGAGTTATGACCAAATCAAAAAATCAAATTAAAATATTCTTGCTGCTTAGAAAATAAAAATCTTCTAGAGAATTTAAATATTCTAGTGCAATACCCTGATCTTTTTAGTTTCAGTATTTCTTTAGTATAGGATAAATAAATCCAGGGTGTTTAACTTCAGTAACTTTCATCTTGTTTTGTAAACAGTGGTCAGTATTAAGTATTACCTGTATATATCAGCAATCCAGATGTTTTTAGCAAGTGTTCAATGATGTGAGAATAAATGTTACTTTAAATCTTTTTTCACTAAAAGGCATACTGCACACTTCTTGCAACCCATCTCTCTAGAGGGAGGAAGAGATACAATGGCCGCAGAGAAATGTATGTAAATGTAAAAAGAATGCTCATATTAGCTCAGGCTGAGGGTCTGTGTATTAGAGTATTCTCCTTGCAGCAGTAGCTGCTGAAGGACAGAAAGAAGGAAGGAAAAAAAAAGTACTTTATCTGCTTCTTTGACCAGAGAGGAAAAAATGTAGTTTCCTTTGGAAAGGGAGTAGAAGTGTTGTGGGGGAACAGGTATATATCAGAATATAAAGAGCTGCGTAGAATTTCAGGATTTGGAGTCTGTAGGCATAGGTTTTTGAGATATATATATTTCTCATGAGCTGAACTTCTGAAACAGACTTTGCCTTTCATGCTTTCCAACAAGGCTTTAAAATTCTTTTCTTTGAAGGAAGAAAGATAAAAAAACATGTACTTTTTTACTTCTGATTTTTCGTTGAGTTGGGGGGTTTTTTTTGTATAAGATATTAGGGAAGAAAGATAAAAAAACATGTACTTTTTTACTTCTGATTTTTCATTGAATTGGGGTTTTTTTTTGTATAAGATATTACGGTTGGAAAATCTGTCTTTAAATAATAGCATCCGAATAGCACAAAAACAAGGTGATTATGATTTGTATTTCAGCATTTCAGAACTAATCTGAAATTACAGGCTTGAGGCACTGAATTAAAGTTTTTAGGCAGAAGGTTGGAGTTTGATTGGAAATAAAAATACCCACAATGTAAACTAGTCATATTTTCAAAGTAGTTGGTTAGAAAAAAGCAAACTGCCACTATATGAAAAGCCAGTTTATTTTAGGGCAGTAAATAATGAAATATAGTACTTAGTGTGTTTCTCAAGTTTCTCTGAGGAACTGACTTGAGTTGCTACCTAGATTATGACTGTGAGTTTTAAGATATAAAGAACATGAAGAATCTGTTTGTAGTGGTTTTGCTGTTGTACTTTTTCCCTGGAGGAAAGGTTTAGGATGATACTATTACTATTACTCATATGTCTATTGCAACAGTAATGCATAGACCCTGACAGACAATTGCCTGCAAGATTCTTGTAAAAGTAGAAATCTGTTTACGACTGGTCTTGAATATAAGCTTTGCAAATATTTCACAAGTTGGCTGGGATTTAATTTTTCACTTCTCCAGATAATACATTCTCTTCTTTGCTTTTCCACTTTCTTTCACTGTTTTCTCCTGAAAATATTTGTGGTTAATAATAGGCTTCACAACTCCCAGGAGAAAGATCCTTGGTGACTTTTCCAAAAACCTCAGTATTGCGCAGTTTAGCTCTGAAGTTTTCTGAAGTCCAGCAGTGCCAGTGGATGCTGGGCTTCCTTAGGAACAGCTGCCACTGCCCTCTAGCAGAGGCAGGAGAAGCTGCATGTGCTGCTTCACAGTCCTTGTGGTTTTGAGGCCAATGTATACATTTACAGCATCCATTGATCCTGACTTTGTTAGGATTGTGCCAAGCCAAATGGTGGATGAGAAACTGGTGTACGTTTTCCTCTGGTGATTGTCAGTAGTGTGCACTCTGGCAGCTGTAACTCTTCAAACTTCATCAGCCAGAGGTGCCTGGTTGTGCTGGGTGTCAGCCTCAGCCTGTCTCCGGGGGCCTCTCAGGTCACCTTTCACCCCTGCTATGATCTTGCTAACGCTTTCTCAGTCAAATCGGACTCATGATTATTATTATTACTTCATAAAGGAACTAAAACTTAAGAGGAAACAAGGGAACTGGTTGCAAATAGCATATGGAATTTGAGGTTCACTAAATCAAATGATGCCAATAAAATGAAAAAGTGAAATATTGCAAAAATATGTGGGGGGCTTTTAGAGGTTTTTTTTTGTGTGGGAGTATGTGTGCTGGGTCAGTACTTTCTCTGTTAAGGGCTTTGCTGAGCAATAAGCTTGTGTTCTTCACTTGTGCTGAATTTCAGAAGTTTTCAGAGTGATATTGATATTAACTGACAGGTCATCAAATTCAGCTGAATGAGGTGAGGGCCAGAGTGAGGGGGAGCTGAAGTCAAGTTTTTTTGTTTTTTTTTTTTCCCTTGGGAGGTAGGATGGGGAAAGGGAATGGTCTATCTACCTGGTTTATATTGCATTGTAAACTGCCTTTGTTTTAACCATAATGGGGGAACATAAAGATGCTTGTAGGACTGCAGTAATCTGGAGAGTGATGAGATGACCCAAGTGCAGCCTGTTTTTGGGGGGGCAAAAAAAGCAATATCAAAAAGCAAGAAAAACCTCTTGAAGTGCAAAGAATGTTTTTCTTTTGATTAATGTGAAAGAAATTAGCAGGTAGTATGACTTTAAAATGACATAAGGGGAGGTAAGATAAGACAAAAGTCTTTGCCTGCACCTTTGGGATTATGATGAAGACCATATGGAAAATACCAGCTTGCACAAAATTTAATCTTTTTTCTACCCTCTTCTTTAACATGTATTCTGTGTCATGGAAATTAGAATGCAAGTCAGTTTAATTACTTTTGCTGTTGTTCCAGTCCCATGGATTGTAAATATTAGATTTATGAATAGATTTAATTAGCTCTGGAGCTTTTTTAATATACTCAAGCAATTCTGATTGCACCTAGAAAAAAGGTCATGGAAAAAGCTGTCCACAATGGACTTTGGTCTAGACATGAGGTCTTCCTTATGAAACCTTTGCTGACTAGTTAGAACTATAAATGCTATATTGCTGATGAAGTTATTAATTTGAGAGTACCAAAATTATTCATACCACAGTCTTAAAAAACAGAACATGTCATTAGCTTCATTAGTATGTGTTCTGGGATTATATGCTTTCAAAGTAGGAAGTGTTGGTGTAATGCTATACTCCTGTGGCATTTTGGTCACTGCATGAGGTGGAAAAGGTTAGTGTGACGAGTGTTTGACTGAATAGAGCAAAGTCAATATGAAGGGCAGGTAAATGCATCAGGGCCTCTCAGCATGAGGAAATGAGTTTGGGAATAGGATTGAGGGTGAAGAAAGGATAGGGTGAAGAAGCAAAATAATTGTAGCAAAGAAAAAAGTTTACTAATTTTCCTGTTGGTACAGTGGACTTTTATATAAAGAAATCATTTTAGATATAAATTATACAGCAATTTAAGCTGAAAAAGTGAACAAAAACCCAAGTGGCTATGTGTCATTTGTGAAACAGTGCAGGTCTTCCATCTGCTGAAACTGCGTCCTACATTTCTCTTTCCAGGTATCACAGCCTCCTTCTCGTGCTGTGTGGCTTTGCAAGTTCACTGGCTGTTAAAACTGCAGGGTTTGCTTAACAGTAGAAGAGTTTTACTCCATGTTGGTGGTAAATATTGTGGCCACAGTGCTTATGGATAGAGCCCTGTTACATTGCAGTCCTTTGTGCTACAGTAGCGGTAACAACTGCCACGGTCAGTGCGCTCAGGCTGCTTTGCCACCTACCCTCTGGCTGGTGTACCTAAATCTCCCCAGAGCACTTCCACCGCGTTCAATTACAGTGTGGTTGCTAAAGCTTGTGGTGGTAGCTCTTTCTGTGATATGACACACCAAACTCATTTCATGTAGCTCATTCTTTAGGGAGATCTATCAAGTGTATTTGGCTGCACAGACCCATGAACTGGTTCCTTAAGAGTCCCTCATAGTTATAATTTACTGTAGTAATCCCAGAGCTGCTTCTGAGAAATGGTTTATTTTTGCTTTCATGTTTCTGAAGGGGTCTCAATCTTCAGTCTCCTGAAGGAGTCTGAAGTGTCATCTGCTGCAAAAAGCTGAAATTATGGATGACAAGTGAGACAGCAGCGTTTGCATCCTCAACCTGATGCAGAGGGTCTGAATTACCAGTGGGAAAGCAAAGGCAATATAACGGTTTTCATATTTCATGAGTGAATTACAGCTAGGACTTGTACTTACCACAGCAGAATACTCAGGTTTGTGAACCAATGCAGGTCAGTTATTTAGGCAATACGTGGAAAATCTGTTTTGGTTCTTGGACTGAGAACTTGAAACTCATTTCATAAGTGAAAGGTTTTGGCAAAGCAATTCTCACTAAAGGAGGGAATTCTCCTCAAGCACCTTCATAAATGCAGTGCTGGATGTCTGCCTCTACTGGCATTCTATTTTTTTCTTTTCCTGCCAGAAGTCTTTTCTTTTCTAAAAATATTTACTTGACTCTGCATATCGCTGCCTAATCTAAAGATGGATAATCAAGTGCTGATTTTAAAATCCCAACTGGTTCAGGATATAAGAATGACTTTTAAAACATTGCTAAAATGATCCTTTTGGAACAAATTTTCTAACTGATTATGCTCTTCTGGCTGGTTTCTACACTACCAACCCCCCACTCCCTCCCCCTATAACCACTGCTGCCATCCTAATCTTCTAGACCATTTAGTGCCCTCCTCTTATCCTAAGTAAAATACAATTGCTGGCTCCGATATTCATTAGGTGATAATCCAGATTAATTCAGACTTTGATGTAGAAACAAGTCCCATTTCAGCTGCCAAGAAATCCAGATCGCCCCATGGAAAATGCACACACACATGCACGTACACACACCCGCACGCAGTATGTAGAATGCCTTAAAGAAACTGTAGCTAACCACCTTATTAGTATTCCTCCCTCCTCTGTGTTTCACTTGCAGCAACAGAGGGCTGAGCAAAATGCAGTAGAACAGGGACAGAGACAGAGCTGGCAATCATCTCGGTGCAGGCTGCTGAATGTAGGGGGTGGGGGGGATGCAGCAAAGCAAGATTAATAACCTTGCCATAATCCTGTGCACCCTGGAAGGAGATACCTCCGGTGACTGAGCGGCTCTTGTCTTGATTAATTGGACTGAGTGAATGAGTGGCTGGCAATCCACCTGGTTTGGAGGCGACCCCCTGGTTTTGCTGCTCTCTGAATCCTCTACCCATCTGGGAAGGTAACAGTGAGACATACCATCTGCAGCACACACAGCAGCTATTGGAGGCTACTACTGACAGTTTGCACTACAGTTTTTTGGTGAGCAAGAAGCCAGGTATATTGTACAGTAGGATATTTCTGTGCTCAAGCTACTGAATTTCACAATCTGGTCCTTCAGCAACCCCCTACGCTCCCTTTCCAATTGCCTCTGAGTTCTGGGTTTACTTTTGGCATAATCTTCTGGACACGTTTTGCTGGGGATGGAAGAGCAGTAAATGGAACCTCTGAAAACTAATTGTTTTGCTTGCGTGTGACTCGAGAAATAAAAAAGCTAGAAGAATCACATCCACTTGGAGGAATTTAAATTTCTCTCTGAGAAGTTTATAGAGGGACTGTACTAAAGGTAAGTGCAGGGGATTGTCTACCCCTTCTGTTTCCTTGTTTGTTTCCTGCTTTCTTGTTTAAAGTAAGGGAAAAAGGCTATAATGTTAGTACTGGGTGCATACAGAGTGTGGTGTTTGTAAAGTCTGTGCTTGTAATTTGCATCTCCTTTTTACTTCCTTTTCTGCTTTTTTTTTCCTTCCTTCCCCTGCCATTTGCACAGTAAAAATGCTTGCAAAATAATAATCTATACGGCTCCTCGAAAATGTTAGTTAAATAGCACTATAAAGCTCCTTTTATTTCAAAGGTATTAGAATTTCTAGGAAGAGACATCTTTTTATTAAACAAGCTAAAATATTTGGGAAGTATCTCAAATGGGAAAGAAATAAAGCTTGTACAGTATCTTCAGTAGAAGCCTCCATATTTTCATAAATCTTGTCTAGTTTTTTTCTCTGCATTTCAGTCAGCTCTGGAATGATGAATATGTAAGTACAAAGCTGTTTCTGCTGCTGTTAGCCAAAGGAGAAGGTAGCAGAATAGAAATTTGTGAATTTGTGCATCCACTTACATGAATTTCATCTGTTTGCTTCTCATTAACCTTTTGAATGCTGCTTCCTTTTTTTTTTTTTTGGCTACAAAATTTATGCAATATGCAAGACCAAACAGTAATAACTCTTATGGTATAAAGTGCCAATCACAAATGGGTTTTTGTGGGCCATTAATTTTTGGGATGGGGGTGCTACTAAGCACTCAGGTGACCAAAGTAAATGCTTCATCTGGCATGGTTCATTGCACTCTAGAATTTCTGGAGATCTATCAGTTGTATTGCTCTGGTGCTACTCAGTATTTAAGCCTGGCACTTTGCCTCCCCCTGCACCCCTTCCACCAATGCAGTTTCTACTGTAACAGTATGACTGTTTTAGCATTTCCCATCATTCCATTAAATAATAGAAGTAAAATACCATTGCACTGCAATAGAATCAGAGCTCTTGTTGAGCTTTTTTTTTATTGCTGCACTGATAGTACTTAGCATTCCCAAGGAGGTAAGCAAACCATCTGTAAATACATTTCAAAGATGCTTCATTCTCCAAGTGCAATTGCTAGGTACTCATGACTTTTCAATTATATGAATTTGAATGACTAATATTGAAAAATATCTCTTTAAAATACTGCATAGCTGGATACGTACTGTAAAAAGACAGGGATCAACACAGAGTTCTACTGAGTAACCAGATGTTCAGGGGCTTCTATATGTGTGTATGCAAAGAAAAGGGGAATTGCATCAGATTTGTAAATACAAAGACACATCAGATAGGATGATCTGTTTGGTACAAAGAAGTATAATGACCCTTGTAATAGATCCTGTGTTGTAAAGCTAAAAACTTAATGAAAAGGCTCTGCTTCAGAGTAATCAAATCACTTTATGTTATTGCATCCTGTCAGTCAGTCCCTCTGTTTCCCACTGGTTTTGCATAATAGCTTTAAAGATGGATTAAGGAAGAAAGGAGAACTGGTTATAGGTGTGTTTCCCCTCATTTTCTGGAAGTGATGCTTCTGTGTTGCATGTGCATTTACTGTATATGATTATGACAACCAGATCTTTCTGGGCAGGATGCAGTCTTCCACAGTTTTCCCACATTGTACTTTGCTCAAGCCCCAACTGCGTGTTGCATCAGAATCTTACTTCACTAGGCAATAAGCTGTGTTTGAGCTATGGGGAACAGTATCTGTGTACTGAGGGCCAAACTTATGATTTTTAGAGCCTTACCCTGGGTTTAGAATTGAAGTACTGAATGAGACTACCAAAGCAGAGATGTTTCTGGATGAAAGCAGGGGACAAATGTTCTGCCTGGAGATGAAACTTTAATCTTCTGGCAAAAAGGATGACACATTTTTCTTCGCTTCTGTTTCTGTATATTCTGATATATAGAATAAAATTTAGTAGTGTTGCCTTAAGCAGAGTAGAAGAGCAGTAGCCTGTGTACTGGAAAAGAAGTATGTCATCACTCTTTATGGTGTCCAGGTGTTTTTAATCATCTGTTTTTATGTAGTCATGCTTTTTCATTATCTCCTTATATTGCAGACTAAAGCAAATGCTGGTTATTTGGCATTTTAACAGGCTCACTGAAAAGCAAACCTTGTGCTTCTCTTCCCATGTTCCCCCAGTTGTGTTGGCTTAGTAGATTTTCATTAGAACTTTTCTGGATTTTTTCTTCTGGGTTCTTAATTATACTGTCACCCTTGCTGTTTTTGGGGTTATTTTGGTTATTATGACATTGTATGCAACATAGCATGTTATTGCAAGATCAATTTTGTTTTCTGATACTCTTGTTATTCTCATGGTAAGAATGGAAATTAATAGCACTCAGTTTTGTCATGTTTTATGTGGGAAGAGGCTTTAGCACCAGTTGAACCACATGGGGTTCTTTTTTTTTTTGTTTATAAAAAACCTAAATCAGTAGTCAAATCTATAAAAGGAGTATTGTTTCCTTTTAGTGATCCTTGAATTTAAATTGCATTTCATAGTGTAATGCCCCACATGCCTTCAGTCTCATCTAATGTGTAAAATGCTTTCTCCTCGGTACTCTTTGGCTGCCTGTGTGAGCTCAATCCACAAAGCTTTGTCCATCTTGCTGGAATACGACAGGAAGGTCTGCACAGATCTTGCAGTAAGTGTGTCATAGGTAAAGTGTCTCAGTAGGAGTATTTGTACAGTGAGGTTCTCATGAGCTGAATTGTTTAAATGTTATTTTAAGAGGAAATGGAAGGTAACAGATTTTTTTTTTTCACTTCCAGTAATTGAGCAGCTTTCTTTTCTTGTTGCTGAAGTCAGCCAACCAGGCACTAACCTTCTCCAGCACGTGTTTCTGTGTTTCTAAGACCCAGGGTACTTGACACATGAATTCTTTCTTTCTTCTGGAACAAGCTGGGCTGACAACTGGTAAGGAAATCTTGAAGCAGTGCAATGGCATGGGAGTGATGGGAGGATGGGAGAGAGATGTACCAGCAATTCCAGGACTTAAACCAAAAGAACAAGTTGTGTGGGAAGGCTGAACACGTCATTTTGATTGCTGACTCACTGTGTTGGTGTGCAATATTATCTTACACTAATGTGATGATGCTGGCCTGGTTTTGAAATTAGGAGGCAGAAAAAGAGTAGTTTTTCAGGAACACATTGCTTATGAATGTGTACTACTTTTACAAATATTCTGATCACTGGAAATTCCAGCAGGTGGACTTTGGGTTCTTAACTCTTTAGAAGAATTAATTAAAATTAAGTTTTTTTCCACTTGAAGAAAAATTAAGTTACAAATACATCCTTTGAATTGACAAGTTAAGTGAATGAAGTAAATTATATTCCACACCACCCCAACTCCCCCACACCCCTTCCTACTTTTACTGTTCTTTATTTTCATTCTGTGGCAAGGGATAAGGTTTAGGAGTGAAGGAGACTCCAAAATTCCTTTTCCTAGGCTAGCAAGCAAACATGGTAGGTAATACGCTGCTTAAGAGTCTTGAATCTAAACCAAATTAGTTGTAATTTCTAAAACCAATTTCAGTTTTCATTGTTGGAAGTGTGAAAATGAAGTTTATTTGGGAGATTTGTTTCATTTTTAGCTTGTTAAAAGGACAGTTAATTGCGTTGTTTAGGGAAGACCACCATTGCTGTGTTATTTATTATTTGTCTTCTCACAGATTTAGGTAGCTAAGAAGGCATTCTTTAACAGTAAGAGTTCCTCATATTTTTTCAAATTAGTGTGGAAGTTCATGTACTCTTGAGTTGTATAACAAATTTTCAAAATGAGAGAATAATTTTATTTAGATATTGTAGCTTTCAGGAGTGGCCCAAAAGAGTAACGTTGAGAGCATGGTGTATATATACAGGTGGGAATCTGCTTCCAGAGGTTGTTACTTCTTGGATTGCTCAGATAGTGATGGTGAAGATCAAATGACCCAGTGGTATGCTGAGTTTTCTACAGCCATTTTGTATTGCCAAGGAGGAAACTTAGCATTTTGGTGTCTCACAGTCTGCAAGATGCTGCTGTGTAAGAGCTCTTGCTGCCAAACTTAGAGTGGTTACATAAGGTAGAATCCTATTGATCCTGGGGGAGGATGGTGGGCAGAGATTTCTTCAGAAACTGGAGACTTTCTCGGAACAGATACTGAAGAGGCAGAAAAGTAGCAAGAAATCTAGGTCTCTTCCCAATGTGAATTGAATAAACTTTTTGCACAGACAATTGTATTGTAGTTTGCAAAAATTTATTCACTCAACTGGCCATCAGTGGTAAGTATTCTTTGTATTCTGTGCCTTGCAGAGGTGAACAAAAAGGTGTAAAACTAAAACATGTCTAAATGAAGTTCATAACTGCGACATGAAGGGCTTCTCTTTGCTCATTTTTTACATATCATTGAGCTTGTGAGCTGTGGCCAGCAGATTTTTTCCATAAGGCCCATTCTAATCTATTTGGTAATTTTAGATGTTGTTTTGTTAGGTTAAATTTATGTGAAGGACCCATGAAGCTCAGCACGTACTAGTAACTACAGAATAAATTCCAGTCCTGTTGTCTGTCCTGCTTACAAAAGTAAGAACAGACTTACATCAGTCTCTTTTTAACTTCTCTGAAACAGCTAAATTGGTATGAAGAAAAGATGACAAATGCGGTGGGAGGGCAATAACTCTCTTTTGAAAATGTTTGCTTAATTTCATTTAACTTCCTGTGGGAGCAGTAGAGGCCCTCTCCTTACTCTTGTTTAGTTGTAGGAGAAAATGCAACATGGGACCAGCAAGGAGTGGGCATGTTTTTTGACTGCTGCTTTTTGATATTTGTCTACCAGGGTGTAAACTTTACTGTCTTTTCTGGTGTCCCAGCAATAAATTGGCAAATGAGAAAGAACAGCAATGTTTCTATACTGGCTGTGGTGCATTACTATCTTATTAAATACATGGAAGACATCATTTAGGTATGATTATGTAAATCTAGGGATATCACCTCTTCATCTGTGTGATTTCCCCCTCTCCAC